TGGGCAATCTACTTCCATAGTGATACCGCCTCAGAAACCCAAGGAGGGGTCACTATGAGTCAGATCCGACTCAACGGCCGTGAGTTTGGTTTTGAATTTAGTGAATGGATGAAAACATGCATGCCTGCCCTCAGGTAACTTGCATTACATCTGGAGACAGGTGCAAAGACATTTTAAGGGCTAAATATGTTGTTAAGAATATAAAGTATAAAGGAAACTTGGAAAGGAAACCCATGGCGTATAAGAAGTACAACCAGAATGCTCCTTACTTTGGACATCACGTTTGATAAAGCAGAGTCAGCAAAGAAGACCCTCGAGATGGATTGACACAGCCCGCAACAGTGGCCGCAAACGTAGCAAGGACTGTGAGGATGGTGCAGGTCCAGGCAGTGTTTGTTAACATAAGGCCACTGGGAGCTGGAACTGACTCAGTGGCACGTAGCAACAACACATGGGGAAGGTTTAGGGAATGGGTTTATGTAGGAGAAGAACAGGGAGGCTATTTCTGCTGCAGAAATGGGATGAGCTCAGGAGACCTGGCTGGTATGCAGATTGTGTGCTGAGAAGTAGAGAAGAAAGAGGTGAGCTAGGTGGGGTGGGTCCAGATTGTGGAGGGCCTTAGAAGCCAGCCAGGCAAGCAAAAGAGTGGCTGTGAGATGGCCCCTAGTTACCCTTCACGTCTGGAATTGAACTTACTCCCGTGGCTTCTGGCCAAACAACAGACAGGCATAAAGGGTGAACATTTACATCAGGTGGGTACACTCCTTAGAACGATCAATCATGGGAGAACAGAAGGGCAGTATTTGCACAGGGAGACAGCTCAGGGGGCAGAAATACACGGGAAGAAAGGACACAGGGAAGAGCTAACTACAGGAGAAAGTACGAAGAGAGCTGTTATTTTGTGGAGAATTGAAGTCAATGTCATGAAACTAAATGCGTTTGAACTGCTGTGTAGAAAATGAATTGGCTCTGTGAACTTTCACCCAAAACACAATAAAAACATAAAAGAAGAAAAGGAAAGTGGCTGTTGGGTGGATGGCCAGAGCAAATTAGGGAGTATAGTCATCTGCTCCACTGAGAGAGACAGGAACTTCCCGACTTGCACTAAACACCTGTCGCTGTAGTGGGAGCCTCCTAGCTAACCAGTACCGGGAAGATGACAGGGAAGCAGATAATTCATCAGAGCTGATAGAGCATTATTGAAAAACTAGTGACATTCCGATTGTGTCCCAGTTTGTGTGAGCTCTGGCTCACAGAGACCACCCTCCTTGAACTACTCATCTGTGTTAGGGGCAGAGGCAGTTTGAAGAGGCCCAGCGTAATTCACCCTGGAGTAAGGAGCCCTGATATTTTAGCAGTAGTTCTGTCACCCAACCAATGGTGTGACCTGGAGAAGCGTCCTTAGCCTCCTCTCTGAAAACCTTTCTTCTTTTTATATTGCTGTATTTCTTAGAAAAAAAAGGTCATCTAAGATTAATTTTTTTCTTTTTTTAATTTTCAGAGCTGTTTCAGACAGCTTTAGGACAAAAGCTTTCTCAACTTTTTGTTTCCAGCGAGACTGAAGGAGTAAGGGGCGGGGGAGGGGGCTGTTGCTGTCCTCAGTGTTTCCCCCTCACCCTTTTCCTCCATGATGACGTTAAGTGGTTAAGACACAGGCTGTGTGGAACAGACTGACTTGAGTTCAAATTCAGCTCCACCCTAATTGGGCAGTGTGGCCTCTCTGAACCTCAGTGTGTTCATCTTTAAGATGGAGGT